CCTGCTTTCAAAATAAGCTGGCACTTCAGGTCTCCCCCAGATCCTCCCTTCCTATCGTGTTTATTGCAACACGAACGCTGTCACCCACTCAGCTGTTACAAAGCTCTCGCTGCACACCACGGTCAGCAATTCACTCCAGTTTTTATTCCTTCTGCCCTTGCTGTCTTGCTTTACTAATACGCCTTCCAAAGAAACTGTTTTAAACACTAATATTGCTAAGTTTTGAGGAAGCAGAAGATAAAATTTAAGGAAGGAAGGAAGAATGGTACTCATGGAGGGCAATCTGTGTATTAATTATCAAAAAATTATTTAAAGGGAGTCTCAAAGACACTTATTTTGACATTTTAAAATACCTAAATAATCTTTGACATTCCCAGGCCAAGAATCCTGTCTTTCCTTCTCCATTCTCTCAAACTTTAAGGGAAAAAAACCAAACCAAACCAACCAACACAACAGCATTCACACTTACTTTTTATGTGGTTTGACGTGCGAAAAGACACTGCAGAGTCACAGGAGAAGGCACTGGAGTTGTCTGTTTCATTACGACAGGCCGGTGGCACAGACCCTTTGCTGTAGTAGTCCTCCCAGAAGTCACGGGGAATTTCAGCTGCAGCATTATCATGAGGATTACTCTCATCTTGTAGGCTAAGAGCCAGCACGTAGTCTAAATCAGCATTCCACTCTTCACAAAGTGGAGAATGAGTGCTCCCGTTTCTCTCCAACCACTCCAGTTCATCCTCTTCAAAAGACAAATATCATAAATTTGAGAGTGTTAAATCTGCAGGTTCCCTGCTGTGCATCAGGCTAGCTCAGCCCCGAGGGTTTCACACGTGCACATGTGGACAAGGTCAGCCTTTCAAAGACTAGAAGGACCTCTCTATCAAACTCAGGAAGAAGAAAAACAGTCATCCTATTTTTGTTTGTAACAAGCCAAAAAGAGAAAAAGAAGAAAGTCATTCCTCTTACTCCAAAAACTTGAACTTAAGCTGCTTGGGAGCTTTACGAAGTCACTGAGGAACCTTCTCTAACCTACACTGTGAACAAAGTCCAGTCAAGATACTGCAGTTTTGTCCCTTTTACAAGGCTACAGGACTTCAGCTTTGTTTCTCCAGTATATCAATGGGAAAACAAATTCCTTTTAATGGCAGCCCGCAGCATAAAGCTGAGCAGAGATCCAGCCTAGGGCTCATGGAAAGGTTATGTTTTCAGTATGACCCCTTGCACATGGAGGCAAGAGACTGGAGGTTTAGGAAAGAGCAGAGACACTGATAGCAGCATCAGCTGTGTCCAAACGGGATGTTACTGCCGAAATGTGCAGCGCTGCAAGTGTGAACCCACATCCAAATCTTACCTACGCTCCTACGGGAAGTAACAAGGAGTGCAGCTGCAGAACAAAACTGGAAGAATTTGCAGTAAGAAAACCGCCACTTTCATTTTTAAGCTAGACACTTTGAGACAAAAGAACAGGCAGAGGACTGGGCTTTCACACCTCCACAGTCCTCTGTTTAGCTGGCTTAGACCTCTGCAGTTCCATTCCCCGGGAAAGCAGTCCCACTCCCATTGCCTCTGGAGCTTTCGGTGTTTTCACAGAAAGCAATTACAGAACCTTCGACTTGGATCAGCTGCCAAATGTCAAATTAGAGGCCAATTATTACTCTTTTCTACACCTTACCTTGCTTTTGATTTCTTCGTACTGCTGAAGCATTTCTTCTGCTCATGTCCTTAAGTGTTTTGCCTCCTAAGCAGCCGCTATAAATCTGCTTTTCTAGCACCCTGGGCATTCTCCACAAGGGCCCAGCACAGTTACCTGATCTTAGCCGGTTCCTAATGTCTCGCAGGGCACGCAAATCCGCATCCTCATCCTCAAAGCAATGCACTGTTCTGCTGCCTCTTGCTTGTTTCACCTCTTGCCCACAGACTCGAGGATGCTCCTTCAGATCTTTCACCAGAACGTTCCGACCGCACACGCCACAGGTCTCAGTCCTAGCTCCGCAGTAGATTTCATGGTCCTCGAGCTTGCTGAAAGCGAGCTGTATGCCGCAGTACTGGCAGACGGCAGGACGCAGCGGGCACTCCGACGCCTGGAAGAAGAGAGAGGGATTATTCTTGGCATACGTAAGACTTGGGCAAAGGGGGAGGGAGGTTCTCAGTTTGGTAAGAGTCAAGTGGTCTATTGCTTCTTTAGCCAGATCCAAAGCTGCACCAAAGAATAGCCTGGAATAAGATTCCCTGTGAGAAATGCAAGAACAACATGTTGTAGAACCTGTGTAGTCATAAACATGCCAGATGAAGCTCTCCAAATACTCAGAACATGCTTTTTAAACCTGTAACGCTCAGGCAGCAGATTCACATGGTGCTTTTTGAAGTTAGCTTTTCCACACGCTCTTGACATCCAGCACTAATCAATTTCATCGAGAACAGCTAAAAACGTGTTAGTGTGTGTTACATGAGGGAGCAGATTTACAGCACGTTCACTATTCAACAAGAACTGCGCATGTTCTTTACCCTACACTGAATGACAGGTAAGCTGCCTTTACGAAGGGGTTAATCAGAGATGAAAATACATGTTATAATTGCAGATGCTACAATAATACACCATCACTTGCTTTATAAACACAACTAAAAGCACTACACGAAAACGTGCAAGACAAACTACTTCCAGGTTTTGAACTGGACAGATCCTCAAAGAAAATCCTCTTTTCCTCACCGATAAGCAGACTTGCGTGGCACTGCCAGAGCTGTCTATGAATGAGCCCATAGGAAGGGAAGGTACTGACATTTTTAATGAGTCTGCCTGCGACAGTGGCCAGCTGGATTCAGAAACTCCCAAAATCCCGCTGTGTCCCATTTGAGTTCATTTTACAAGCTGTTTTAAAGGTCTGTTGGACACAATGAGCTATTAAAACTCACATAACGACTGCAGCAGTCAGAAGTGCATGTTAATGAAAAAAGTCAAGTTAATCATATTCTGCACTTTGGAAATAGCTCATCATTTTTCATCTTAATCACTAATAAGGCAAAATCACCAATTATCCAGATACCCCTTTGGTATGAAGGCTTGAGCAGGCTCTACCACTTCAGGGCAGTTTCCAACCACCTTCTCTCAGAAGGTGTGAATTTAGAAAGCATGGTTCAATAAAAAGGATGCATAAATCCCAGGTTGGAATCCAGGCCTAGGCTGAAGGCTCTAGAGTCAGCGCTTGGAAATACACAGAGGATCTTCCAAGTGCCTAATAATATAAAGTCCACCAACCTCATGATCCGTCAAGAGACATTTTTCTATCTTCATCCTACACTTGCAGGTGACCTATGAGAAACAGACCACGTTAGATTAATCGCCACAGAAGTCAGAAATTTTAGAGGAGAAATTTGTTTCTCACCTGCACATGTTCAGACTCAATGTGGTTCTTCATTTCAGACTTTGGGATTAATTCACTGCAGTAGCGGCATACTTCAATATTTCTGCTACAGTGGATTTCGTGCACTATGAAGTTAGCAACAGGAATATCCTTTTTGCTGTGAGAAAGTCATAGAGGTTACTCTTTAGAAAATGCACTGACAGCAATTTTAAGCAGTTTTTAATTTAAAAAAATCCTAAAAAAGCTTTCTATGAATTCACAGTTTAGAGAACTGAGTAATTAAAGAGAAAGACAATCCCAAGCAGGCCTCCACGTTCCTTTATAGTTGAGATATTAACACAGGTAGCATGCAAAAGTCACACACTCACTGCATTTTGAAGATACTCATTCTCCTATCATGTGGAGGATGCAAGGATTACAAACACAAAAGGTGCAAAAGAAACTGAGGCAGCAGGAGCTTAGTCCTTATTCCTGCCTCAAGTGGGTAGCATCATTTCCAGGTGGACCTTCCATTCTACTCTTGCACACAAGAAATCAGCCCTCAAAACACCAACATTGACCTGTTGTGCTTTCCATGTCACGAAGGACAAACACTACAGCTGTTCACTTTTCTCCCTTGCCAGTTCCCAAGCAGCCAGCAGCGTGGCAAAGCAAGGAAGTCCAACAGCAGTGTCTAAGCTGCACATACCCACTGCTCACAAACTAACCAGGCTGATGTTGCAAGAAACTGTTTAGATCCCGATGTCTCTTTGAGGGGAGAAAAAAAAAAAAAAAAAGTCAATTTCTTCAGTTGTTTGTATTTGAAACGCAACTTCCGAGATTACGTCACCATCAGTAAATGCAACACTGGAGCGTCTGAAGAAAGAGAACTGTTGCCAGAGGGAAACAATATGTGCCCATTTATTCTATTTTTACATCTCTGCTTCTGAGCCACGTAGCTGGTACAGAAAAACTTGGAATCACGTACTTTGTGTGTATCTCACTGCAAATCGAGCCTTTATTTCGATTTGAATACTCTGGGTACTATCTACCTGCATGTTAAGCCAGAAACTTGAATCATAGAATCACTAGGTTGGAAAAGACCTTAGAGATCATCCAGTCCAACCAGTTTACGTTGAGTAAACGTTGGGAAAATCATAGCAATACTTGATAAGGCAGAACTAAACCCCAAACATTTTTAACAAGATGTTCGTTGCTAATTTCCACCTCGCAGCACGGCACCGCACCCGAGGGAACACATCCTGCTCACCGAGCTCAGCGCTGCGCTCGGCTGCCCGCCCGCCCCCGCCGCCGGTCTCGTTGCT